AACGCGAGCGGAATGATTTAAAAGACCGATATTGTATATTTATTGCGCGTGTATCGATTTAAAGTCTATTTGCGGTTAACGTCTATTTGCGTATAACGACCATAGACTTATATAGTTCTGAATTTAAAAGGCAAACGACGGATTTTGCGACACGAAACGGCGTTCGCAGTTGCAAAACGCTAGACATTTGAAATTAAATAACGTTAGCTAATTTTAGAGGTCGCCATCTAATCATAATCGATCGATTACACGGCAACGATATTAAGCGACCAAGTTTCCGCGGCGCGAGATCATTTGCAATTCCTAATGACGAAGATTACCACCCAGCGCTGACACAGTACTGTATTAAGAAGCCGGCATAATGGCCGACAACCGGGACACTTAATAATTATCCTTACGCGGAGGAGGGAAAAGCTACGTATGAAGCACCGCCCGACAGACAATGCCGCTCATTACCGCTTCTATCGGAGTTGCCGCCCGAGCTGTCCTCGTAACAAGCGGTGGCAGGTCGCGATTTTCAGGACGATAACCCAATAATCCTGCGAAAAGATCGTCCGCCGCGTAGAACGAAACATCGGATGCAGATCTGCATTTATTCCTACGAAATTCGTATGCGTATGCGTATTGCGCAGGTAAATCTAATTATTCGCACACTGCAATCCTCGAGCCCCCTTTCGTATGTTAGAAATAAGATGAAAACAGATATTTTACATGTACATATAAAACCTTAAGAAATCGAAATATTTCTCAAGTAAGATATACAAATGCTACAGGATTTTTTTTAAATAGAACTTAAATTTATAAATTAATTTTAGAAATGCTTGTTAAGGAAGGGACTATTATTATATAAATTTTTTACTGTTTCAAAGATAGCGATATTCATTTTCCCGAAGTGACATTACGACCACGTTGAAAAACGTAAGCAGGATTTGATTTGCACAGTACTGACCGTAAATGCGAGCTCGACCTGTCGGCTTTACGTCGGCTTTATTCGGTCACTCTGTCACACTGTTCCCGGCAGTTTCACCTATTTGCACTGCTCGTCAAACTACACGCGCAGCGCTTCGTTATGCATTTGAACAACTTCTAACGAGGGCGACAACTTGCTAGATCGCCGCTTGATTCTATATCGATCATTGACAAATATATGATACGAACACTTGAATAGACGCGCAAGACCTGCAACGCTTGCACCTGCGTTTGACACATGCATTTTTAATGTGCAATTGATGCTCTCCAAACGCGTGCAAGTCCTAATAACGACAACAGAGTTTTGGAATTCCGAAATTTACGTATAATTGTAATCGTAATTAAATCTTGAAAAATGTGATTTACGTTTCAGCCATTAAAAAGCTTTTCCATAATCTTCCAATGTCAGAAGAATTATATTTTACAAAGTTTGCACATTAAACTTTAAACCATATTTCTTTAAAAACTAAATTTTACTTAATTTAAATGATATTTTTTTCTCAAACTTCGTACGGACAATTTCTTCTTTAATATATGTCATTATTACTCTGTCATTAGGTATGCCATCAATTTTCGCTAATGAGAAAATCCTTTCAACTTTAAGAGCTCGAGTTCTGTGGAAGCTGTTTTTAGAAGAGGAGACGGTGAATCCGGGATGCTCTTGGATCTCATACATCTCAATTCCGTGCATAATGGTGCATTATATTTGGCATTGAGAAACCAGCAACAAAAGCGGAATACTGGTCGTCGATCCAGAACCTGGCTCGACACTCTCGCCTGAAGGTACACTTCGGTTTTTCCGGCGAGAAAATCCCGCGGTCTCAGGCGCCGACCGGTTTTCACCTCCTGACCGTGAGGCACGTAATATTACGTCACGTACTTGTGGCATCCCGCGGCTCGAGAGAGAGAGATTCCATCGCCCTTTCTCGATGTCGACGATGCACGCGCATTTTGCAACTCACTTCGAACGTACACAACCTCCCTCGATCAATAATGTTCGCCATTTATTTCTTGCTCACGTATATCAGGGAAAACCCGGTTAGGAGTAAGGAAAATCAAGCTCGCGATATGTACCTTTTATATATATATATATATATAGACTCGATTTATCTAATTATCATCATGCACACAGCAGGATGAAACGTTGCCTTAAGGCGACGAAGTATGTCAGTAGACGGTATCAATCCTCGTAGTGATGATCAAGATAAATTCTTCGCGATTTTGCAAACTGAGAATGCTTGACCTAAATATCGCGCGCCCCAAAAATAAATAAGTCTTGAATAAACGTAACTCTTATGTTATTGATTAAGTACTAGTTATTGATATGGAAAAGGCTACAAGCATATTTTACAATATTTTCTATATCAAGAGTCTTCAATTTTATGTTCTGTACTAAATGTACTGCGTAATATTGGGTAATTACCTTATAATGCGCCTTAAATGTACCGCGTAATATCGGGTTCACCTTAGTCTGCAGGAATTTGGAGTGTACGAGCCGCAGTATCTATACATTCTATACTTATATAAAAGAAGGTACCTTAACCATCCTGTCATAACTCATGCTAAAACTACTCAGGATTATAATACGGTCTAACTTTCACTACAGAGCGGAGATCAGGTTCGATAGGTCGGTTGGCGATTCCGCATTTCTGGAGGCCAGTAGTCCGCTTTTACGATTACACCGTGCACGTGATCGTCGAGATAGTTGTGAACTTTAGATATTAGGCAGTCACCGACATCAAGATACTAAAGCGATCGAAATAATTCCGTTAAGTTTGCAAACGATGCATTCCAAGGAGAACGCGCCAGTTATCTCAGAAGCGCACTTGCGTCTTGCGAACTTCCAAACGTGATTACGCAAACGCTGCATATTAATGTTGCACCAATTAAATAATAAGAGATTATGTGCGCGCGCGTCAATGTGTGTGCAAAGCTGTCGCTTCTTCATACTCTTTTTCACGACGGGGTGACAGCTCTCATTAATTACTGCCTCGAGTACGCTCGACCTTGATTCTTGATACCATCAATGACCGGCATTGTCCATCCAAATTACTCATATCGATCATATCGCGCGGTTTGATGAGCTAACCGAGCGCGAAGAGGTCAGGCACGTCCGCGCGGACATCGGCACGGTGAAAGGCCAGGAAGGCCTTCGCCTTCTACAGAGTATCTCGGTTGCTTTTTGTGCGACGATCGAGAGTAAAGCGCGAACTACAATCGCGCACGCGAGACGTTACCTCGCCGGCACGAAGAATGATCGCCGCTGAGCGACGATCCATTATCGCCTCGTGCATTGTTTCCCGAAGCGCGATTAAGCGGATGCGTTCCTGAACGAAGTACAACTAAAAAGTAAAGGAAAAAAAATGGAGACGAAGCACCTTCCTCTGGCTTGCGCAATATTTGCTCGATGTTGAATTAATATTGATGTTATATTAATATTGATGCTGAGAACTTATATCAGGGTATTAATCTGCTATTAATCTATGCTACTTGATTTATTAGCTAATTAGCAATGACTATCTCAAGTACGATTCGCAGTTATTATCATTATCATTTTATATGAATAATCTCAGGCGGCTATTATAAACGCTATCTTTTCATCGGCGTATTGTCTTCATCGCTTTTTTGATTTTAACTTAGTAAACGGTGTTATTAATTTTCCGTCACGGATAGTGTTATTGTCCATTAATCTTATTTCTCGACCATGGCTCCTATCTGATTGCTTTACGATTTGACATATGACGTCATCGGGAACACGTTCCCCTGACGAAACCGTGGCGATCGTCGGGGCGATCGGTTGTTGCGTTAAGAAGGATTATCACAGGAATAGCAATTTATTTACGTAGCCTCTAATAATAATAAAGGCGGTGTCCTGGCGAGTGCACGTTGCCAAGTGATTACCACCTGGAGATAAAAATGCCTCGGAGATGTTTATCTCCTCGTATGGAACTTGCACAATTTCGCGCACCGCGCCACGGCAACCGCGGCGTGTCTACGCATTGGCCAACTCCCTCGAGTGAAGCTTTCCTTTCCTATACAACTAATTTTCTATTTTGCGACTAATGCCTAAAACTGGAATCAACAAATAAGAGATCTAATCTTTTAGACAATAGACAAATTTCGCAATAGACTATTCGCAACTTTTTTCAAGGCAATGGCTTAAATAATAAACAGATTATATAATTGACGTTTTATATTCTACTTTGAATAGATTACGCAACAGTTTCGTGTACTCATAAATTCAAAAAAACCACGGAATGTTAAATAGGTAAAAAAATCTAATATATAAATGGAGACTTTCAAACGCGTAAGCATGGCGATCAAAATTCGGTTCACATAAGAGGTAAGTCTTTGACTCCAGATTACAACGATCTGACCCGACAGTTCCATTTTCGAAACACCTTGTACAAGTATGATTTGCTCACTCGGCGAGAGCAGAGAACGAGGCCGGATGGGTTAATATCAAGAAAGAGTCGCCGGCACGCGTGTCCGGACTGAAGAAGCGTCTCCAGACTGGGAGAACGTCTGTCCCGGGGTTTCCGGTCCAGCGAGCACGATTCGCCGGCGCGATAATTACTACCGCGCCGAGCATACGGAACAGAGATTCCGCAATCGGCGTGCAGTTGCGCCCTGGGGCTACGTTCTCCTTCTGAAAAGGCGAATATTCCGTGAACGTCGCGCGATTATCTTGGCCGATGAATCATCGCCGCGTTCCCGCCAACGAGGTCGCCGCGTTACCACACGCGGCCACCCCTCTTCGTCCGAGAGCGGGTGTCGCGAATGTCGCGAGTCCCCGCGGAGAGACGAGAGGCCTCTCCGCCTCTCGATCTCGGGGGACAGGCCGTCGGGTGTCAAGATTAGCGTCTGGCGTCTCGTTATCGCGCGACGACGCATGAGAGGGTGGGGAGGCGGTCGTCTGGAACGGTGCGGCGACGGGGATTTTCGTAGTCGACGGTGATGGTGACGGTGGTGGGTATACGAAAGTCGGGTTTCATGATCCAGAAGAAGAACACGCGGGGGGAAGAGAAGACGGAAGGGCGGGGGCCCCGGCCGCGAAGAAAGGCAGGAGCTATAAAAGAGCCGACGGGCCCGACGATGGGCATCAAACACCTCCGACATGAAGGTACGTAGAAGTGGATCTAAACGCGAATACGCACATACGCACGTCTCTCTTCTAACGTTAATATACATATGTCGAACGATCGTGGCACACACTCTTTCGCACAGATCAATTTCTTGCGATTTTTAAAGCTCTCAGCCTGTCCGTTCTCTCGTTGCAGGTGTTCGTAGTCACGCTCGTGCTGGCGCTCGTCGCCACCGCATACGGTGAGTACAATGGGAGGCTTATGGAAACGGCGGCCGGGGATTACGGCGGGGTGTTCCGCGTGTGAAGTGTTCGCGGCGTTTTTAACCACCTCCTCGGTACGGCAGAATCCGAAAAGTGGTTGCAACTGACTGTAAACGTGCCAATTCGCTAGTGCCATATATATATATATATTCATAAACGTGAAAATCTCTATTTTATTCTATCCCATTTCTAAAATAAATTTATAACTAAACGTAAGACAAATTGTGAACATAGGACGAATAGAAAAGTTTGCGAATTAAAAACTTTAAAATGTCAGGATGTATCTGTGTCTGACATTATCTTTTTTTGTAAAATAATGCCCATAATTTTTAATAACAATATTTACTAATTATTTTTTCAAAAGGTTATCGCAAATTCCAAGGAAATTAATTATTGTCGTTACTACCATGGCAAGAATTATCATTTGAAATAACAGCTGTACTGTTGTTATTATTTGCATTTACAAGCGAGACGAATGGACAGATACCATAAATTATATTCCTCTTTTAATTTTTTATATGATTACTAATTAGTTGGTTTAGCGATATTAAATGGGCTTATAAGATTTAATCCCAGAGCGATTTGTACTTGTCTCCTGCCCTTTGAGACGACTTACACAATCAGCAGAATGCAACCAGTCTCCTTGTTGCAATCATAAAATACCTCGTGGCAATTTGCGGACCGACATGACCGCGCGCAACCACCTGGTACCAAGCTCCCAGTTGCACAAAGAAAGTCGATAAATCGTACATCGCGCAAACATACACGTCCCACCTCTCTTATAAATTGCAAGTGATTACTACCTAACCGGGAATCAAAATTTTCGAATACGGTGAAAAATAATGGAATCGATCATGATCTCGAAATTACAGGTGGTTATATAAGCAGCGGTGGCGGATTCGGCAGCGGTGGATATGGCGGTGGCGGATTCGGCGGCGGTAGCAGTGGATGGAAGTTCGGGGGCGGAGGTGGATACGGCGGCGGCGGCGGCGGCGGCTATGGCGGCGGAGGTGGCGGATGGAAGCTCGGCGGTGGTGGATTCGGCGGCGGCGGAGGCAGCGGCGGTTACGGCGGTGGTGGAAAGATCATCAAGGTGATAACGCTCAGCAGCGGCGGCGGTGGATACGGAGGCGGCGGATACGGCGGGGGCGGCAGCAGCGGATGGAAGTTCGGTGGTGGAAGTGGAGGATTCGGCGGCGGAGGATACGGTGGCAGCAGCGGGTGGAAATTCGGTGGTGGAAGTAGCGGATTCGGCGGCGGACTCGGCAGCGGAGGATGGAAACTAGGCGGCGGTGGCGGGTACGGCGGTGGCGGTGGCGGATACGGCGGCGGCGGTGGAGGTGAGATGTGTTATCGTGTATATTAATGTTAATTTTATTATTGCGATCAATCAATTGCTTCAATATAAATAAATCGTCTTTAACGTCAGAGAGAACGTCGAGAGGATAAGTCGCGTATAAATCAACTTTTCTTTCTAAAAATTTATCGCCGTGTAATTAATATTTCTTTCTTCATAATTATCGCGCAACCATGCGCGATCCGACACGCATTAATACGCATCTTAAGATTATTTATCGTATACAGTAACTTCCAGGCTAATAACATTGCTCACAGTAAACTATCGGCGCCGATCGGCGCAAAATTCGTTTGATTAATTTAAATAAAAAAGAATGTAAATATACTTAATGAACAAAAAGTATCAATCCTGAAAAAATGTCTAAATTTTTAGATTATTAAAATATTGTAAATCTCTCATACATCACATACATATAGGTATGTGATGACATTTATATCGAGATCGAGTTGCTTAAATCCATTAATATCGGTAATCCTCGCAACTCGTTTTAACTTATACAGTTATTAAATCATCCTTTACCTCGGACAGGACTGCCAAGAGAGGATAAGCCACATAAATTAACTTTCTTTTTCGGAAATTTATCACCATGTAATTCCCATTCTTTTTTTTTATTATCGCACCGCCACGCGCAGTCAGGCATTAACATACATTTCAGGCTTATTCATGGTATGAATTAAATTTCCAGGCTGGTGGTAATACTCACGGTGTTCACGAGCAAACCGAACAAAATTCGTTCGCCGATCATCCGCGCATATCTCGGCCGTAAACATCGATCGTCGTCGATAAGGAAATCAACTCGCGTCTGGCCCTTTCTATCCTTCGATCCTCGTCAGACCGTCATCGGAAGACCAAAGAAGCCAAAATCGGGACATCGCATGAGGCGGAGTCAAGAAGTTGCCCGGTATATCGCCGAATAAATCCGCAAGAGAAAGCGTTACAGCGTTACAACGCACGAGGCATCCTCTTCGCTACCCTTCACCACCAAGCGCAGGGATATCTCTTGGAAACAGCGAACGATATCGTCGCCTCGCATCCGGCCATTCGAACTAGCCGCCGTGTCGTCTAGGCGAAACGACTTCCTTCTCGACGGCATAGCGTTTTCTCTTCGCGTGCCCGCCGCTCGCCTCCCGTTTCTTCCATCGCAATCCGGAAAATCGGCGAACGTTCCATTTACGAGCGAATCGCGCGGCCTGATATTTCAATTCCGCTTCCACGTATGAACATTTGCCCACCTCATCTCCCGTTTACTTAACCCCCCGCGCTCACTTCCGAGGATCGGAAGCGTCGGAGTAAGGCACTCCCCACCGGCACGACACATTTAGCCCATTACAAACACGTAGCGCAGAATCCGTGTAATTCCGGGTATTATCCCGGATGCCTCGAGCACGAGCGGAGCAAAAGTGATGAAAAACTGCAAAATTACACCTGGTGAAAAAAAATAGCGCTGTGATCCATCCCACGCACACTTTTCTCTCTTCCTTTATTGCCTGGACCACCCCGTTCGATTCAATGATCCACAATAAATAAGTCATATTGATAGAATAATGATGTATTGATCTTTGTTTTTCATTATTACGCCCCCCCCCTTCCCCCCGGGTTGGCGAGTGCCGTAATTCTCTTTGCCAGCGAAATATATCTCTAATGCGCGCGCGCACACGGGGAAAAAATTGAACGTGGCCGCCGCTACCGATTTAGCGGCGATTCTGTATCCATCGATTTATGTATCCGCGATGATCTTGCATAACCGGGCCGAAATTAAAACCGTAAACGCCCGGCGGACTCACCGAGAGAGATATTGCCGAACGTATGAATTTACTCGCGCCACTCGCTCTATTACGATATTGCGCCATCGGCATAAATATCGTATTTAGATGTATATTTTCCATGCAACGTAATGCTCGCGATCGAGAAAGGCGACGTATAAAAGTTTTTCATTAATCTTCAGCGACCGTTCTATTGAACAGCAGTATTTATTCAAATGTTTAAAGCTATAATTCACGCACTCGCATTTTTTCTCTATACGTCCATCCAGTTTAATTTCACGTATTATGAGATGGAGCAGCAGATGGACGTTCGGTGACATTTTTATTCTTTGCATAATGACATACATTACGTAAAATATTTGATCTTTAACCTTTAGTCAGCGTATAATAGCGTAAATGTCCGACATTTGCCGGAATGTGTTTCTCCAGATATCATGCAATCTCCGCGCAGCAATTTTATAATTTCGTACCTAACTTTATATTATTATGTTGATATAGCGGATAAAAAAAGAATCGCTTCTATTCGGGACACGGGGAAATAAATGGGATTGGTCTAATTAAGGAGGTACGTAATGAGCAGTAACTTTTAATGTGTGGCACAACGTGCCAGGATAAGCGTTAAGAGACACGTACACACACAATAAGTTTTCTCCATTGCGTGACTTCAACGTAATAGCCGTGCAAGTAATATCACGGTAATTACATTCTATTCGCGTGTCGCATGAAAGCAAACGACTCGATTTGTCGCTTAACATTGATATCACAAGAATATGTGTATTTCGTCACCCTTTTGCCCATCATCATCAATAATGCATAATTACCGCCGCGTAACGTATTTTTTTACGCGTAATATAAAATTTATTTCTCACTCTTATCCAGTTATCTTCATTATGAGATTGTTATCCATGCAAGGGAAATTGTTGCCTTTTTATATAATGATCACATTGCTTTATGTTTTAATGACTCAGATATTCTTATGCATCACCATCAACAATAAGACTACGTGTCAGCCTTTCAGCAAAAGGATTTACGTGCATAATAGCTCTCATTGAGATAAAACAATCTGGGTCGAGAAGAAGCATCATCGTCAACACAATCCTACCTTGTAATAGCCTTTTAATTTCGTCCTATTTGAGGGAATGTACATACGTCTCTATATTATTATTATATTTCCTTGCATTTCGAGTTAAAAGAGAACATCGTTATTATATCAAAGCAGGTATTATTGGCAGGCTAATTAATTTAAGTATATATCAGAAACAAGAAACAAAATTTCTCCGACATTATTGCGCCCGAATGATCATAAAACAAATGGCCACGTTCATCAATGAATGCAATGAATTAAATTTTAATATTTTGTTTCCGTCGAAGATCGAATAGCGTAATGCTTCTTGACGATCATTATTACGTTCTGGTGATCAAGACGGGCATAGTCGTTACTAATAAACGAGCTCGTGGTAATGATGCTGCGCGAATCGACAACTACGAATCTCGCTTAAGGTCAACGGCCCGTATTCGCGCGACTAGTGCCTTTCGGTTGAACTTTAATGCGTCCTCTATCCCCTATTATTCCCTATCCTCGTTGGCCGCGGCGCGGCGGCAGCTCTCTCGAGGCAGTCTCCGAATGGAGCGCGCTGCTCGCCACTAATTGGATCCTCCAGAGCCACGCTTTGATTAATTATGGTGAAGCGCATTCGTCTTCAGTAGAATGGCGAGTGAGATGCTCTTGCGCGAACGGATACTCGTCGATATCGCTTTTCATCCGCGGGCCGCGACGCGATCCAGGGTTCTTTTGCGATTCACGCCCAGCGCACGTTACCCTCGATCGCATTTGCGCGTCCGCTCGCCGCGCAACAAAAAAACGATCCTCACCCCTTCCAGAATCCCTCTCTCGCTCGCGTAATATTCGATTAAATATTCCATCTCGGTTTACACACAGTGCCCTATTTTTCATGTTTTATGACTACGCGCATACAGATACGGCGGATTTTTATCTAAAAGCTTGAAAACCCTATTCGTTTTCAATAAAAATTTTCATGATTCTATGCGTAAAGAGAGAGATGGAGATACAGAGAGAAAGAGAAATCGTATTTTATATTAAAAAGAATATTTTATCTCTCTATTTAATAAATATATGCATGTATTAAAATACTAGGTATATTCATTTTTTTATCAATCAAAAGTTTTAATATAAACGATATCTCACGCAAGTATCCCATCATGTGATTAGCGCAACTAATTTATAGACTTCATGGTATGCCATTAAAAAACAAACAAAATTAGGTAGGTATATTTATGTACATATTTGTGAGATCATCCTGACATATACGAAAGTGATGGCTCTTCTCGATGTTTCCAATCACCTCGAATCCGGTCGATTATTACGACGCTTAGCAGTGGTTACATTAACGACATGTTCGACGCTCATTCGGCCGGTTGGCCAATTACATTTCGTGTGAAGGGTCTTCAACGTAGGCGGCTGGGCTACATCCACGGGCCCATAAATTTATTGGACGTTGATGGCCGTGCGCGTAACAATCGGCTGACGTTACGCGGCAGGTAATAATCAGGCGTCGATGATACCGGAAGCAATATGTGCATCGATATCGCGCTTTTCAAAATGTCATATATTCCGAGTAAGAAAAAGAAGACTTTATCAGATAAATTCTTTTGAAGAAATTTTTTAAGCATTTTTGATAGAATCTAACTTTTATAGACGATATAAAAAAAGTGCGGATAAAAGATATAACATTATTGATATTAATCTTTTACAACTTTATATATTGTCTGGTCTTTAGACCTCTGCTCTCTTTCAAAGCGCGCTTTCTTCCCTGATACTTAAAGTGAAAGAAATACATGTTCACCCCACGAAGCAGGAAAACAGAAGAGGAAAGAGCGCATGAGCGGTTCTGAAAGAAACGGAAAACCCGACCTCCTTGCACGCGACGATGCTTCGACGACAGTTTAGAACTCCATAATGTCATCGTTACCTCTTCTATACAGTGTGCGCACAGCAGCCGGCGGCCCTTGTACCGGCAGTGATACTGCCGACAATTCTATCCCGGTTAATGGCCATCGATGACGACGAGCAATTAAATTAGCGCGGATTACGAGACGCACGATGGTGGCGCGAAATGAACGAGAGAGAGAGAGAGAGAGAGAGAGAGAGAGAGAGAGACCGGAGAGGAGGAAGGAAAGGTCGCGCAGAGGATGGAGAGGATGTGGATATAAATTTAGGCTAGGCATGGCTAGAGCGGCACGATGTTTCAAACACATCTGTGCCGCGTGTGCGATCATCCCTCTCCCGTCTCTGTCCTTCTCTCTCTTGTTCCTGTTTCGCCCCATCTCTCTTCCACGCAATTTCTCTCCCTGTACCTCGCGCCTCCCCGCCCCCTCCAATTCTCGACGTCCTGTCTCTCTCTCTCCCCCCCCCTCTCTCTCTCTCTCTCTCTCTCTTTTAATCCAACCATCCATCCTCGCTCTCTCTTCAACGTTCTCTCTTTCTCTCTCCTGTTTCACCCCTGTCGCACACACGTTCATCACCCAACTCCCAACTGGCGAACACTCGCCGTGCCAAACCCGAATCGACCTGACGCTCTCTGTACCCGATTACAAATCTGACCAATTAGGCGCACGTTGCGCCTGCCGGATCGGAATTGGCGAACGTTCCGTGGGCGCCAACGCTGCGGGCGCGCTCTCTCTCTTCGAGAATCGCTACATCCCGGCCCAACAACCTCCCAACCACGCACTATCGCGCCGTGTTCGCCACTCCTTCCCGCCGCTCGGGGATTAATATTAAATGCAGGCGTCTGCGAGACCTCGACTTTGATCGGAAAACGCGGCTAATTAAGGTCCACCTGGTGCCCGTTCTATCCGCCGCGCTGTTTTCGGGTTCGTTACGCGGCGTTACGTCGCACCTTTGCCTCTCATTGTCAGGCAAATTTTCAATTACATTCTTTGCACATTATATTCTCTTTTGTGCACAAATCCGGAATTAAATCAAGCTAATCAGGTATCCGCAAAAAATGTAAAGTTTAAGTAAATAAATTGTACCTTTTCTTAACTGTATCTAACTGCACAAATAATCGTGTCTTCCAATTCTTGGGTTATATGCGAATTTACATAAAATATATTCAAAGTTCTTGCTTCGCTCGTCGCTATTTAAAAATTGCTTCATATTCTTAATCAAAATTTTATTTGGCTCAACGCTCAACAAATAGAAGATCTAAGTTTTCTTTATCAAATTGGACGGATATTATAAATATTTCGCTACTTCCGCGCTACATCGATATCTTGAACTGCTTTCCAATATTTTGTTGAAGGCAAACAGGTCGTTGATCGCGCTGTTTTCCCACGCCCGAAAATTCAAATACATCCGCAGCACAGTCTGGCTATAATTTATTATTCGGTGGTGGACCCCTAACACATATACATCGCGGTCGCGATCTATACAATCGTTGCTCATGTACATATGTACATGCATACTAGCGGTAGTTTTGCAAAAAGAGACAGAGAAAGACAAAGAGAGAGAGAGAGAGAGAGGGCGAGGGAGAAACGAGATGAAAAAAGACCGAGCGGGATGAACGAAGCGCGAAATGAAAAAGAGGAACAGCGACAAAGAACTGGGGGCCGGGAAAATACCAAAAAAGAGGAACGCGGCAGTGCGGTCGTGTCGGTGTTTTATTGCCGGCGGATTTGTCGTATTGACCGACACTCGGGCGGAGGATGAGAGGGAGCGAGGAAGATCGAAAACGGGAGGGGCGAGAGTGACACTCATCTGTC